CCCATGATTAATCAAGTAAGTTGTCGTATACACCGCGTCTGTCCAAAATGTCTTAGGTAGATATGCATGTAAATGCATGCTCCTCGCATGCTTTATCAATGTCATGTTCATCCTCTTTGCGACGTCGTTCTGTTGCAGCGTTCGTGTAGTCTTCTCCAAACGAATCACATTTAGAGCACAGAACCTCTTGAACTCCTCCAGCTCGTATTCTCCATCATTATTCGATCTCAAACACTTCACCTTCAGATCTATCTCGTTCTCTACCATGACTTTCCACTTCTTGAAGATCCCAAACACCTCTGATGTGTGCTTCATGAAGTATACCCACACCTTCCTCGAGTGATCGTCGATAAAGGTGACATAGTACACCAAACCGTCAAGAGAAGACACGCTAGATGGACCCCATATGTCTGTATGAACAAGCTCTAGCTTCTGAGATTTAGGTGGTCTTCCATTTTTTTGAAAGCTGACCCTCTTCTGCTTCCCGTAGATGAAATCCTCGCAAACACCCACTTTAACTGAATCAATACCGGTTAGCTTTCCCTATGAGTGTAGAATCTCTATTCCCTTCTCACTCATGTGTCCCAGCCTATTGTGCCACAGATTTGCACTCTCCTTGTCAGTTGCAACTGCGAGGGTGTCACTTGCATGTGAAGTGAGGTAGAGAGTTCCTGTTTTGTTGCCACGGGTAACCACCACAGTACCGTTGAATATTTTCCACGAATCCCCGGTGAGCTTTCCGCTCCAAGCTAGCCAACAGAAACAAGATTTCTCTTCAACTTTGGTACATATCTGACATTCTTCAGATTCTACGTAGATCCCTTCATCTGAATCTGCACGTCACCTCTTCAACAATATTGCAAGGCTCGTTATCCCCCAAGTATACTTTTCCAAAGTCCACTATTACATAGTTCTGAAGAAGCTTCCTATTAGCAGTGGTGTGGAATAAGGCTCCTGAATTAATTACCCATGAATCAGAATCACTGTCCATAACAAGGATCAATGCATCTTGCATGATATGAGCCTACTACTCATTCGCATCCTTCTTTTGTGCTTTACAGACTGAAGACATATGGCTCTCCTGGCCGTAGTTTCAACACTTCATTCCTTTTGATAGACCTAACCTTCGAGTTTGACATCTTCTTCTTCGACTTCAACCGATTCCTATTCTGGTTTCTCTTCTTCTGGTTTTAGTCTCTTTGCTCGAGATTTAGGGCTGAACCTGAACTTCTAATTCAGATGATTTTCTTATAACCTTCTCGGATATAACCATGCTAATAACCTCACTCAACTTTAACTTCTCCTTCCCCGTCGAGTTGCTAATTGTGATCACGCAACCTGTCCAACTATCTGTCAACTACTATATAATTAATAGGGTCTGTACTTCGTCATCAAACATAATATCTACGGAGATAAGTTTATCAACAATCGTGTTGAACTGGCTGAGGTGCATCGTGAATGAGCATCCTTCTGCCATCTTGAGGTTGAAGAGTGTCTTGACGAGATGCACATTGTTTACGGCTGATGATTGCTCGTACATCTTTGCGAGCACTTCCACCAGCCCCACTATCGACTTCTCCTTCAATATATTGTGGGTGACTGATTTGGCGAGCGACAATCGGATATGCTCTACAGCCTTTTGATCCAATATTTCCCAGTCATCGTCTGATTCCTCCTTCTTCTTTCCCTTAGCCTTGCCCATCAATGGACGGTAAAGATCCTTCTGGTATAGATAATCCTCCATCTGCGACTTCCAGTAGGCGAAGTCTGACCCGTCAAACTTCTCAATCTTCGATTTGCTTTCCTCTGTCATGGTTCTCGCACAAATCTTCTGAACGAAGCTCTGATACCAGTTGTTGGGGTTGAACACACAACCCTTGCCATTCCGGATCTTATGCCGAAATTAAGCAAGCAGAAAATCACAGCAAATAAAAGAAAAATTTGCAGGAAAGAATAATCAAACCAGAGAACACCAGATTTAACGAGGTTCGACAAACGTGCCAATGTCCTCAGGAGCCACACCAAAAAGTTTTGATTAATTAAAGAAGATTACAATGCTCGCAATAAGTCTCTCTCTCTCTCTCTCTCTAAGATCTCTAATCTCAAAGTGCAGTCAAAACCCCTCTTTTCATGTTCTACAAACCCTAAAATCGTTTAGGTATATATATAGTATCCTAGCCCAAAAATAGATTCCCAAACGAATCACGAAACTGAAAAAACCGATTCCGATCAATCGGACCATGGGTGTCGGTCGACCGGCCAGAACACACTTATTTTACATGGTTTTCGTGCATGTTATCGGTTGACCGGATCAAGGCTCTCGGTCGACCGGCCAGAGCGCTGTTTCTAGCCTCGTTTCCTACAATCTTTTCAGTCGACCGGATCTCCTCCGTCGGTCAACCGATCCAAGATTTTTTAGCCTCGCAGAATTGTTTCAGGTTTCGTTCTTCACACGACCAAAACCAACATGAGCTTGGATTCTTGTAAGCTTTTTCTCTTCTCGGTGGTGATTGTGAGCTTGTGACGAGTTTACCAACGTAATACAAATGAAGAAATATCTAACGTTAAACATAAAAATAAAAATAAAAGACTTGCCTTTGATCTGAAGTTGTATCTGTGCTAAAAATGGAAAGAAGGGTCTTTTTCGCATATTAGCAGCTTATATCTTTGGTATTGTGGCTTAGTCCCTTACATCTTTGAAATTGCAAGGAGACCCCCAATTCTCAAAAGTTGCTTCAAATTAATTCATCTAATTGCTACTTCTGCTCCACGTTAGAGAGTAAGAGACTAATTTAGAATAACTTATGAGAAATCGAAGGCCTAATAGTAAATTTAGTGATTTGAGGGACCGATTCATAACATTCAAGATTTAGGGTACTAATGTCTAATTAATCCAACAGCTAGCTATTGCATTCCTAAGCTTCTTACAGATGAGTTCCGGTTGCAGCTTATTAATTATTTCTATTTTCAGGGGCATCGGTTCACGCAAAGCAGATGATCATATTGTGCAATAATAGCTTAATGACATCATAAAAATTACTATTCTTTAAAAAAATCTTTAAAATTACTAACTTAAGAATAATAATCGTATCAAACTCAAACAATTTAAGGACTTAAAAATCCTGATCACTCTCTTGGGCATAAAAATAAGATCAATTTTGTAGCTCAAAAGAGATATTTGAATTATAAAAAGAGATGAGCATTGTGCTCTTTTTCAAGTTTAAGGGATTAGGATTACCACTCTTACCAAAATTGCTAGGCAAACAAATTGTTCCGTTGGATTTTCCAAATAGGTCAATCAAAGGAGCGATGATTACACTTCTTATGACGGGATCTACCCAAAGAGTGGCACTAGGGGCACACCCCCAACCACAACCTCTCTCTCTTGCTACAGTGCACCGGGTCCCACATGTGTTTTTAAAATTATAAAATCTTATATGAGGCCCGGTGTACTGTAGCAAAAGAGTGTGTGTGGTTGGAGTTACGGTTGGGGGTGTGTCCTTATCATTTTCCTCTACCAAAATATGACTTCAACTCTTTTAAAAGTAAATCATTAATAATTTATCATGAAAAAGCAAGAAATACAATGATGCAAATCAAATCAAGAAATGTGACATAAAAAATTTGAAAAAAAAAAAAAATTCTCACATTCTATTGATGATTTTTAGTCGCGCGTCCGGTAGAAGTTCTAGTCTCCAATCAAAGGAAGAGGAGGCATCCATAGCATCTCTCTTCGAATTCTCCTCCATCAAAATACCAAAACATGAAAGGATCGAAAATCACAACCTCAAACAAGAAGAAATTTCTATAATTGTGTTGTATAAATTCTAAAATTGGATTATAAAGGGGCGATGCTTTCTAAGAGAAACCTGGCGCACGCAGACAAAAGTCGTTTCTCCGTCGGTGCGCGTTCTGTTCATGAGTTTTGTCGAGCTTCAAGCTCAGACGTCGTATGTGCAGATGTAGACAGTGTTTCACGGCTTTTGATGCCACAACAAAGAAAACTTTTATTGTCAAATTAATTCTTGTGTGCGTGCGTTGGTTTGAAATTCTTAAATTGTTTCTAGAAGAATTTTCATGTGTCCAGACAATTTTCTCTTGGTGCATATATAATCTGATTTTGTAATGATCTCTTAAGTCTTAACTCAAAATTTTCTCACTCATGCGCAATTTAATGTTAGAATTCCTCACCAGCTTAGGTTGTTCTAGAACAATTTTCTAGAACTTTTTTCTAGAAACACGCTACAAAATATCTACCAAGAAGTTTATAGGAGGATACAAGTGTATGGCTAGTATTTATTATTCTAGAAACTTCTTACTAATGTGTGGCTATGATTGATTCTTCCACACACTTCCTAGTCCTCTTACTCAACTATAAATAGGGGTCTTGTGCTCTCATTTGTGTAAGCAAGCAAGAAGTGAGCTTGAGTGTAGTGTAGGCTTGTGTGAGTGTCCACAAAAAAAAGTGAGTTGTGAACTTTCTTTTGAGTGTTTGTATTTCTCTTCAAACTGTGAGTGGTTTTTAAAAAATGTTGTAGTATCCTTTATTGTGGGTATAATATATGTGATTTGTTTACTTGTTTGGGTCTAATATTAATAAGTTTAGGGTTGTGTACTCTAAAATTTTTTCTCAACATTTAATACTCCATGACATTGGAGGGTGTTCATACAGAGCCTTAATTTTAATAAGTTTTGAAGTTATACTAGCTTACCATGGCTTTTGGCTGTTACAATATAAAGTTTATTAAATGGCTGTTACAATATAAAGTTTATTAAACAGTGTATGGATTGGATAGTCATTTAATTGGTCAAAAACCTAGCTTACCTAGGTGTGTTCTCGAGTCAGATATACATATTAGGAAATTTGGATAAAAAAAAAACTTCGGGCAGATGAATTAGGATTTGTGTTGGGGCCGGTTCTGTAAGACGCTCAAAGTTCAGGGGGGTTGGTGGGAAAAGAGTGGTGGAGGGTGTTTTCAGCAAAATTAAAACCCCCAAAAGAGATGTCAATTCTAGTCATCGAGCGTCAAAATGAAAACATTTGGAGAACCCTAATCAAATTCAAAACCCCTTTCCCATCTTCGCTCTCTTGAAGAAATTTGAGGTATGCGTACTTCTCCTTTTTTGCTTCAATCAATTAGTTTTTCTTCAGCAGTACTTATATTTCAAGGATTTAGGGCAAACCCACGATGTGCAAAAATTGAATAGAAGAATCTTATAAAAGAAGATCAATGAATGGGTTTTCTGTGTGTTAGTCAGTAGTCAAGATTTGTAGATGTGGGTTAGCCTGCATATTTACAATTATGCCCAATTCTTGCCATTTTGATCACCGGAACATTTTGCCGTTGATCTCAGCAGTAATTATGTTTCCTGAATATAGAGGTAATTCATAATGATGAGATGGTTGTGCTTCAAAGTACTGCAGTCTTTTAGTACTTTTTAGGTAGTTTTGATTCTTTTTGTTCCTGAGGTAGCTGTTGGGCTTACTACCCTCATTGTTTGATGAAGTAGATCTTTAATGAAACAGCATAGTTAGTCTGTTACCGTAGTATTTTGAGCTGACAAGATTTCGCGTTCAGATATTTTTTTTATACTTGAAGTGCATCAGCTCCTATTTTGCCAAAACCGGAAACATATTGGAACATGGACAAAGAGGATCATGCTTTCTATGTTGTTCGAAAGGGGAATATCGTTTCCATTTACAGAAACTTTAGTGATTGCCAAGCTCAAGTTAGCTCTTCGGTAAATACCTAAGACTTGTGCTATTTCTTTTTTCTTTACAAGTTCTATACCTTTTTCGCTAATACATATCATGAGGTTGTTTTTAGTTTTTGTACCCCTTTAGTATCATCGACAACTTCTTTTATTGTTAAAATATTACCCTTTTTGTGTTGATATTCATGTGTGTATTTTGTGCAGGTTTATGCCATTTTGCTTACACAGTGCTGTCAACATTGCTTTTTATCCCGTATTATTTTGCTAATGTCAGCAAAATCAAATATTTATAAGTTTTCAGTAATGAATCAGTTATTGGTTACAGTGAAATAATTCAGTCATTTCGGTAACAAATACATAGCAAGGACAACAGGTCTTTTGGTGCCCAACAGTTAACTTTTCTTATAGCTTCAAAATGATTCTAGTATCCAGTATCAGGTTTTATAATGTACTTCTTGATTCCTTCCATTTCTTTATTTTAACAATATACTGTATTGCATAGGTATGTGATCCTCCAGTCAGTGTGTACAAAGGTTATTATTTAAGTAAAAAAACAGAGGATTATCTTGCTTCTCATGGTGTCAAAAACGCTTCCTATGCCATTAACGAGGGAGATGTGAAGGAGGACCTATTTGGAGCTCTTGTGCCTTGTCGTTTTCAGGTAAAATATTCACAAACCCAATAAAAATATGTTGAATGCCATATCAGATTCTTATTCAATTTATTTGTACCCCTTCTTGTGCTTTTCCCTGAGGAATCAAAATCTAAGACTGTAGGATAAACTTTACACACTAACTTGTACAGGACTATGATTCTGAAACTAAAATTGTAGGTAATGCAGCCAGAAACAATAGATGTGGTCATATGATATTCTAGTTATTTGGATACAAATGATAAGGTAGCTCTAGCTAGAACTGTTTTACATAAACTAATGATACAAATACTTGCCCATATATTTAATGTGGTTTCCAAGAGGCACGTGGTATAAGTAAGGTGAAATTTATTGTCATTCGCTGAAAATGTGTTTATAAACTAAAGCTATTGGAAATATCACGGAAGTATTGTATTTCTTCGGCCAGAAACTGTAATACCCCAACCCAATAGTCTCACATTAGAAGTGAAGAAGAGTTCAAGAGACTTTATAAGCTAAGTTTTGCGCTTCAAGTATAGTATTGACTAGCCAATTTTGATAGTGGTTTGAGTTAAACAACGTATTACTCTCAGCAGTTCCACGGCTTATAGTGTGCCAACGAGCTCGCGGGGCTCGGAGTGTGACAAATGATATCGGAGCAGTTAGCCAACTGTACTTGTGGAGCTAAGTGTTATATGGGACTAAGTGCTACATCGCGTGAGCGGTGTGAGCCACCTCTAGAACCCCTAAGAGCCACTGCTTGAGTCCACATCTCCTGGTGTTGATCTTGTAATGGTCCAATAGTCATATTGCGACGATGACATCACGTATCTAACGTGGGTTAGCTATAGTATCCTAACCTAATAGTCCCACATTGGAAGTGGATGATAAGAGTTTGAGAGGCTTTATAAACTAACTTGTGAGTTCCAAGTGTAGCGTTGACTAGCCAATTTTGGCAGTGGTTTGAGCCAAACAACGCACTACACTCTGTTGTGTCCCACGGCTTACAATGCGCCAACAGACTTGCAGGGCCCGGGGCATGACAGCAACTGTGCATTTTCCCTTTTAAGTTGAGCCATTCCAATAACTTGTGATCTTGGTGCCACTTTCATCTGCTACTATGTGTTTGTGAGTGGGTTTGTAAACATTGTGGCCTTTTTCACTACCTTTTTTCTTCTTTGCTTTCTAATTAGAAGTACATAAAGTGTGGCCTTTGTATTATCATGTATTTGCTGCTTCAAATGGAAAATAAATAATCTATCACTTGCTGTTCCTGGCTCAGTTTCCTTTGTAATGCATCTTCTTTTCCTTAGGAGGCAACGAACTCAACTTCAGTCTCCACTGAGGGTCCAAAACAACCCCTCAACTTGGGTTTAACTATGGAGGCACAGCCGTTATCTCACCATCAAGTAAGTTGCATTAGCGCGCTTGAAGCCTCTGAGTTATCATGCTTTTGTAATTGTTTACGCCCTAATTATTGTTCAGATGCTATGCATACAGAAGCTTCCTTTGTACATCATCAATTTATTTATTAGCACTTAAAGAATATAAATGTACTTCTGTCTTTGTATTTTATCAATTACTGAGCTTGCATGTTCAGCGTAAACCTCCTTTCTTCCTCTTTTATGTTATGCCCAACCTGTACATATTTTGATCTAGTGGATAGTCACTTCATCTGAAACCTTAAATGATAAACATTGATGAAATATCTCCATGTACCTTTTCACAATTTCTTCACTTTTCAGGTGTCATACAGTAAGAAGGAAGTTCCACTGAATTAATCTCATGTAGTAAGAGTTTTTAAGCACAGATGTTGCAATAACTATGACTTTTAATGTGCAGATTCAATGTATTATTGAGTTTGATGGTGCTTCAAAAGGAAATCCTGGAAAAGCTGGTGCCGGTGCTGTAATTAGGACCATAGATGGACATGTGGTGAGCAATTTACATAGGGATTGACCTGAAATATTTTTAATATTTTTTCATTGCTATCGTTATTCTCAGTAATATCTGTTCTTTTATTTGTATAAAGCTTTGTCTGCTCCGTGAAGGCTTGGGAGTTGTGACAAATAATGTTGCTGAATATCGAGGCTTGATTTTAGGAATGAAATGTGCTCTTAGAAAAGGTTTCAAACATGTTCGCGTGACCGGTGACTCCCAACTTGTTTGCATGCAGGTTTGTTGTTTGTCCCACTCAGCAGTTTCATGATAGTTACTTCTGTTTTTATGTCCTACTAATGCAATATTATACTTGTAGACTTAGGAGTAGAAGACTTCATATTTGTATATGTATTTTTTTAGTAAATTTAAATTGTAGAGTTAACTTTATACATCATCAGCTTTGGTCATTTCATCCCTTTTGTTGTTCAAGCGTGTAATTTTATAATTCCGTCAAAGGGTCCAAAGCCTTAGATAACTTTGACAAGGATGAAATGAACGATAGTATTAAAAGCATATGCATAACTTTATTATGATGAAATTATTTTAAGAAAACGCCATAAACTAAAGACTAAATATGCTTATCCTTAATTTTTTAATTGTGGACAGCCGAAATTTGAGATGAACAGCATAAATCTTGAGAAATATGCTTATCCTTATTACAAATGTTAAGATTCTCATCACTATTCCAGGGCTTTTATGCATCATCTTGTGTGTTCACGTAATAAGATAAAATTAATCTTTTTTATTTATTTATCATGATTGATATATTCTATCTCTAATTTTAATTTTTGTGACAAAAATGAGTACTGCTGAAAACAGGTACAAGGCCGCTGGCAAACAAAGCATCAAAACATGATTGAGCTGTGCAAGGAGGTCAAACAACTCGAGAAGAACTTTCTCTCTTTCCAGATCAACCATGTTAGGAGGGTATGAAGAAATCTCACTTTGAAATTTTTTTACCACATAAGGTTGAGGTCACTATGTTTTAGGTCGAAATGAATGATGAAGTATCTTGATATTAGTTAGTTTCGTGAAAAGGCAGAAGTGTATATTGACATTTATTAGCATTTTATGGTTTGGATATATGCATCCTGCAAAGGCCAGACCACTGCATGTTCTCCAACAGTAGCTGATTATTGAAAAATAAATTTGTAGCTCCAAATTTTAGTATCCTTATTTCACTATGTCGTTGGGTGTTCATGTGCTATAAAGGTCAACTTCTTTGGATATGTATAGAAGTTTCACGTTATGTTTCTTATTAGTTTATGTTATCTGTTGATCTCTGGAAGTGTTTGTTTCTTCTGGGGTTAATTATAGAGGAAATAATAGCAATTAAGCCTACATTTGAGATCAAATACCCCATATCACTACAATATATGGATAAGTACACATTCCTGTATATGATATTAGAAAGTGTGAAACTGAAAGGTAATTATGGAAAGTTTGTGATGCCAAAATGAAGGCAATTATGTAAGATGTGTTTAATTTAGGCGAAAGTTCAAGGTAGTTCCTGGGAATTTTTTATTTCAATTTTCATCTTCAGAACTAGGAAAAAGACACATCTGCAATTCTCACCGTAAATTGCATCTCTTCTATGGAAGAAGGGTCATCAAGCATTCCAATTTTTGAACATACTGATTATTTGTAATCCTTTTATGATATCCTTTTAACGTATCATTACGTGATATATAATCTTCACATAATTTCCTAATGTGGGTGTTTCTTATTCTGCCTTTTTCTCTTCCAAAGGACTTTAATTCACTAGCTGATGTCCAAGCAAATATAGGCATTAACTTGCCAGGTGAGAATGTCTCTCATTTCTAATTATTTGAGACTACATTCTGTGTCTCTGACTGTATATGTACTTTTTTTGCAGCTGGCCAAATCAGTGAGGAGCAAGGCCAAGTTTATTAGTTTCCATAGTGTTTTTAGTCGGAACATGCTAAATTATGAAATATCCCTGTATGTATGTGTAAATTGATTGTAGCAGGCTTTGCTGATTCCTAGTTTCTCAGGATTCTCAAACTGAAATAAAAAACTTTATGTGAAGAACTTGATGTTGGAAAAGTCTGCTCGTCTTTTACAACATTATCTTGTTTTTCTGTTATTTATTTTGCTAATGTAACAAGTGAAATACTAATGAAATTTGAATGTGCTTTTCATAGATTTTACATCAATTTGATGTTACAAGGTTGTTAAAAGTATTTGTACCTTGAGATTGTACATAAATTTGTATGTTGATTAGATATATGTATATTTGATCAGATTTATTACGGATCAGATTTATTACGGATTGAATATAAATAGATTTAGAAGGTATCAAAAATTTATCTTAGTTGAAATATTGAGGTATAAGAAGATGAAGGTAAACAGTCTACATTATTTGTTTGGAAAAAGTACTTTCTCATTATCTTTCTATTTAGTAAATGGTATGGGACCAAGGAAAGTGAGAATAGGGGCAATTAGGATAGTAAATGGTATGGGACCAAGGAAAGTGAGAATAGGGGCAATTAGGATGACATACTTTCTTCATGTTGATCGTTATGGGCTTGTTTGGTTGCTTTCCTTCATTTAAAAAAAAAAAGATTTTCTTTACTTTTTTATGTTTCCATGCCTCTCGTGTTTGTTTCGCCAAAAAACATGAGGTACAAATAATTTCCACCACTTTCCTTATTTTGATTTAATTTAAAAAAGAAGAAGAAAGTAGTTAATGTCTGAATGAATTTCCTCATTTTTTAGTGTTTGGTTTAAACTAATAAAAAGAAGAAACCATGACTGTGATCATCATGGTGTGCTTACCACCCACATGAGACAAAACTTATTGCCAACATAAATTAAGGGGTGAGTATACCCACCATCGCGTAAAAATTGCTTATAATGATAAACCCAATGGCTATGTGAGGTAGTAATTCGCAAAATAATCAAAGATTTGAGGGACAAATTTCAAAATGTGAAAATTTGAGGGAGAAATTTTAAATTGTTTAAAAATTTGAGGAACTAATTTTAAATTGTGAGTGCATAATATTAGCCCTAACTTTAAATTTAAGAAAGCAGCAAGAAGGCCTAAGCTTAAGACATGAAATGTTCATAAAAAGTAGGGATATCAAATGGTTGGTTTTGGTTGGGTCTTAGTTGGGTCATAAATGGGTAGGCACATTTATGACCACTTAACTATTTATGACCTATTTAGCATTTGCTAAATGGGTCACTTCTCAACCACCCATTTACTAAATGGGTGGTTCATGGGTGACCCAATAACCCATTTAGTTATGATTATGATGTTTCTATATATATGTAAGTTTTAAGAATCTACTTGCAAACTTTTAGGGGGTTTTTTGCAAACTTTTAGGGGGTTTTCTGTAAACTTTTAGGGTTTTTTTTTGTAAACTTTTAGGGATTTTTTTTGTAAACTTTCAGGAGGTTTTTTGTAAATTTTTAGGGGGTTTTCTGTGAACTTTTTGGGGGTTTCTGTAAACTTTCAGGAGGTTTTTTGTAAACTTTTAGGGAGTTTTCTACAAACTTTTAGGGGTTTTTCTGTAAACTTTTAGGGGGTTTTCTGCAAACTTTTATGGGATTTTCTGCAAACTTTTAGAGGTTTTTTCTGCAAACTTTTAGGGGTTTTCTATAAACTTTTAGGGGTTTTATGTAAGCTTTTAGGGGTTTTTTTTGTAAACTTTCAGAGGGTTTTTTGCAAACTTTCAGGGGGTTTTTTGTAAACTTTTAGGGTTTTTTGTAAACTTTCAGGGGGTTTATGTAAACTTTTAGGGGGTTTTATGTAAACTTTCAGGGGTTTTTTTATAAAATTTAGGGGTTTTTTTGCAAACTTTTAGGGGGTTTTCTACAAACTTTCAGGACGTTTTTTGTAAATATTTCTTTCTCAATTGAATCGACTACTTGGGAAAATTAGGACAGAATTATGAGCAAAAGAAGCAATGATGACGGGGCTGAGCAAAAGAAAATATGGACTCGTAATAAGTCTAGTGTACTACCTGCTCGGTTATTTAAAAAAAGCCATTACTTTGGTCATGTGTCAAAATTTTCAGAATACCGGAGTACCCTCAATATTTAATTCAGTTCTTCTTCATCTTAGGGTCAAATTAGGACAGAGCAAAGAAATGACAAAATATCTTCAGAAAACCCCACCTTGCACGATTTACAAAACCACACTACCTAACAGCTCTATTTGATAAAAACATCCTAACTAAATTTGGCTCTAAAAACCCACGCACCACACATTCCATAAAAATCCTAACTAAATCTTTTTGTCGTCTAAATTTGTTAACAAAATGTGGTAAAAATATCACGTCCCACTCCGAGGATCTTAAAAATCTTGCACCTCCTTAGCCTTGCACGTCCCACTCCGAGGATCTTAAAAATCTTGCACCTCCTTAGCCTTGCGTGAACTGCTTTGAGAGAGATGGTGTTTTTCTTTCCTTTGTTCAAAATCCAGCACCTCCTTAGCCTTGCGTGAACTGCTTTGAGAGAGATGGTGTTTTTCTTTCCTTTGTTCAAAATCCACGAGCTATGAGCGTAATTGTTCATTTCTTCATATTTGTTGTTGGTTAAAATTTATTATTTTTTCCATGTTTGTTCTTAATTACAGAGTGTCCCCAAGTAATTCTCCTTGAAATTTTTTTATCACGCCGGATAACAATACACGCTCTCTTTCTCTCCTGTTTCTCGCGCAATAGATGCAAGTTTTGCAAATTACACTTGGTCGCACACGCATATATCTCCTGCCGACGAAGAATTGTGAGCGCCTACTTTTTATATTTATATATCCTTGAGGGTGTTTTTTTGTAATTTTTAAAAGTTTGAGGGTGTTACTTGCAAATTTGATATTTATAGGGGACTACCGAAATTTTTTAGATTTCATGTGTTATTTGCAAGTTTAGAAAATTCTAAGATTGTTTTATAGTTTTGAACTCTTGAGGGTGTTTTTTGCAATTTTTAAACTTTAAGAGTGCTTTTTGTAAATTATAAATTTACAGGGGGCTGCTAGTCATTTTTGGATTTCATGTGTTATTTGTAGGTTTTGAAATTTCAGGATGGTTTTGTAATTCTAAACTATAGAGGGTGTTTTCCTAAAAATTTAAAACTTTGAGGGTGCTAATTGCAAATTTTAAATTTATAGAGGACTATTGAAATTTTTTATATTTCATATGTCATTTGCAAGTTTAGAAAACTCTAAGATTGTTTGGTAATTTTGAAGTCTTGAGGGTGTTTTTCTCATTTTTTACAACTTTTAAGGGTATTTTTTACAAATTATAAAGTTTCAGGGGCTTGTTGGTAATTTTTAAATTTCATGTGTCATCTGTGAGGTTAGAAAATTTTGATAGTTTTTTTATAATTTTTAACTCTTGAGGTCGTTTTTATAATATGTTAAACTTTGAGGGTGTTTTTTACAAATCTTAAAATTTTAAGGGGTTGTTAGTCATTTTAAGTGTTTTCTATAAGTTTTAACTTTTAAAAATAAGTTTTGTAATTGTTGAAGCGTTGAGGGTGTTTTTAAAATAATATCCATCTAAACGGGTAAATGGGTGGGTAATAACCCCCCCATTAATGACTTATTTATCTTTAATAGAAATTATACCCACCCATTTATGGCCCATTTAACTAAATGGGTGGGTTTGGATGGTTCATTTGGCGGGTGGGTATGGGTGGGCAATTGGTTTTGGGTCCATTTTGCCATCCCTCATAAAAAGATAACATCTCGTGTAAAAACTCCCACCAAACCAAGAACCCCCCAAATCTCCCACCATTTTCAGCCCCTCGCATATGAAAATTCTACACCAAATCTCCACCTTCATTATCAACACCATCATCCCTCTCTCTGTCGTCTCCTTAAACCCGCGATAACGGGTCGGAGCCAATCGAGATCATAAATCTAGATCCGAATCTTGACTTCATCGACTTCGTGCTCCATATCGAAGATCGCCTCAACGATCCCGTCGCCATGCTCACCGCCGACGAGCTCTTCTCCGACAGCAAGCTCGTCTCTCTCCAGCTCGAACCCATTTAAACCCTAGAGAATGCGGTGACCCTAGAGAATTCCCCCCTCTCTCTGCGATTCATAGAAAATGAATGAGGATTTTTAATGAGTATTATTATGTTTTCTGTCTAAGTCGGTATTTTGAGTGAGTAAAGGGCTGTTTGGTTGGTTTCCTAAAAATCAAAGAATAGGAAATTGGGTCAAGGAAATCTCAAAAACATCAATTTCCTTCATTTCTATCTTTAAAACTCATCATGACATCCAATAAAATATTATTTTCATCTAACAACTCATCCTAATAAAATATTATTTTCATCCATCAACTTATCTCATATCATCTCCTAAAAATAAACCAAACACAAGAACTAATAAAATATTATTTTCATCCATCAACTTATCTCATATCATCTCCTAAAAATAAACCAAACACAAGAAATGAGTCACATCATCCAACTCATATCAACTTATCTCATATCATCTCCTAAAAATAAACCAAACACAAGAAATGAGTCACATCATCCAACTCATATCATCTCATCTTTAAAAATCACCTACATCATCTAATAATATGGCGACAACTCATCTCATCTCATTAACATTTCATTTCCTCCAATTTCCTCAAAAAAACTAGGAAAATTGATTTCCTTAAGTGTGAGTCACATCATCCAATAATATAATGACAACTCATCTCATCTCTTATTTTTAAGAATGAACCAAACACAAGAGAATAACCTATTATAGGAAATAAGTTTCTTATAATTCATTTTCTTATTTTTTTAACCAACCAAACAACCTCAAAATAAATTTTCTTAAAAATTCACACAATCATCCAATAATATGGTGACAACTCATCTCATCTCCTATCCTATTATTTGATTTCCTTCTTTTTTTAGCCAACCAAACAACCATAAAACAATTTTTTAAAGAAATATGTTTCCTATTCTTTGATTTCTTTCTTTTTTTAGCCAAACAAACAGGCCCTAATGTGATTTTTCGATTTGGCTGAGGCGGAACACGGTTTCCTCCACATTTTTCTTTTTTTTTCGAACCAAACATCCAAAAATAAGAAAACTGACATTTTTTCAGTTTTCATTTGTGCCAGAGTTCTTTTTTTTGGAAAAAATGTGTCGAGGCCTCAAAAAAAAATAGTTATGACCAGCCCCCCTATTATT